TGACCTACACAACCTAACAGTGGTACTGTGTGTGTTACAGTCAGTTATACCGGAGTTCCAGCTTCAACAGCAGTGGTCGTAGCTCCACCTGTGACACTGGAGACGACATATACTCTGATGTGTCACTGGAGGAAGACGTTCTTGATCTCAACTTATGACCTACACAACCTAACAGTGGTACTGTGTGTTTTACAGCCAGTTATACCGGAGTTCCACCTTCAACAGCAGTGGTCGTAGCTCCACTTGTGACACTGGGGACGACATATACTCTGATGTGTCACTGGAGGAAGACGTTCTTGATCTCAACTTATGACCTACACAACCTAACAGTGGTACTGTGTGTGTTACAGTCAGTTATACCGGAGTTCCAGCTTCAACAGCAGTGGTCGTAGCTCCACCTGTGACACTGGGGACGACATATACTCTGATGTGTCACTGGAGGAAGACGTTCTTGATCTCAACTTATGACCTACACAACCTAACAGTGGTACTGTGTGTGTTACAGTCAGTTATACCGGAGTTCCAGCTTCAACAGCAGTGGTCGTAGCTCCACTTGTGACACTGGGGACGACATATACTCTGATGTGTCACTGGAGGAAGACGTTCTTGATCTCAACTTATGACCTACACAACCTAACAGTGGTACTGTGTGTGTTACAGTCAGTTATACCGGAGTTCCAGCTTCAACAGCAGTGGTCGTAGCTCCACTTGTGACAATGGGGACGACATATACTCTGATGTGTCACTGGAGGAAGACGTTCTTGATCTCAACTTATGACCTACACAACCTAACAGTGGTACTGTGTGTGTTACAGTCAGTTATACCGGAGTTCCAGCTTCAACAGCAGTGGTCGTAGCTCCACCTGTGACAATGGGGACGACATATACTCTGATGTGTCACTGGAGGAAGACGTTCTTGATCTCAACTTATGACCTACACAACCTAACAGTGGTACTGTGTGTGTTACAGTCAGTTATACCGGAGTTCCAGCTTCAACAGCAGTGGTCGTAGCTCCACCTGTGACACTGGGGACGACATATACTCTGATGTGTCACTGGAGGAAGACGTTCTTGATCTCAACTTATGACCTACACAATCTAACAGTGGTACCGTGTGTTTTACAGCCAGTTATACCGGAGTTCCAGCTTCAACAGCAGTGGTCGTAGCTCCACCTGTGACACTGGGGACGACATATACTCTGATGTGTCACTGGAGGAAGACGTTCTTGATCTCAACTTATGACCTACACAATCTAACAGTGGTACCGTGTGTTTTACAGCCAGTTATACCGGAGTTCCAGCTTCAACAGCAGTGGTCGTAGCTCCACTTGTGACACTGGGGACGACATATACTCTGATGTGTCACTGGAGGAAGACGTTCTTGATCTCAACTTATGACCTACACAACCTAACAGTGGTAATGTGTGTGTTACAGTCAGTTATACCGGAGTTCCAGCTTCAACAGCAGTGGTCGTAGCTCCACCTGTGACACTGGAGACTACATATACTCTGAAGTGTTACTGGAGGAAGATGTTCTTGATCTCAACTTATGACCTACACAACCTAACAGTGGTACTGTGTGTGTTACAGTCAGTTATACCGGAGTTCCAGCTTCAACAGCAGTGGTCGTAGCTCCACCTGTGACACTGGAGACGACATATACTCTGATGTGTCACTGGAGGAAGACGTTCTTGATCTCAACTTATGACCTACACAACCTAACAGTGGTACTGTGTGTGTTACAGTCAGTTATACCGGAGTTCCAGCTTCAACAGCAGTGGTCGTAGCTCCACCTCTGACACTGGGGACGACATATACTCTGATGTGTCACTGGAGGAAGATGTTCTTGATCTTAACTTATGACCTACACAACCTAACAGTGGTACTGTGTGTGTTACAGTCAGTTATACCGGAGTTCCAGCTTCAACAGCAGTGGTCGTAGCTCCACTTGTGACACTGGGGACGACATTTACTCTGATGTGTCACCGGAGGAAGACGTTCTTGATCTCAACTTATGACCTACACAACCTAACAGTGGTACCGTGTGTTTTACAGCCAGTTATACCGGAGTTCCAGCTTCAACAGCAGTGGTCGTAGCTCCACCTGTGACACTGGGGACGACATATACTCTGATGTGTCACTGGAGGAAGAAGTTCTTGATCTCAACTTATGACCTACACAACCTAACAGTGGTACTGTGTCTGTTACAGTCAGTTATACCGGAGTCCCAGCTTCAACAGCAGTGGTCGTAGCTTCACTTGTGACACTGGGGACGACATATACTCTGATGTGTCACTGGAGGAAGACGTTCTTGATCTCAACTTATGACCTACACAATCTAACAGTGGTACCGTGTGTTTTACAGCCAGTTATACCGGAGTTCCAGCTTCAACAGCAGTGGTCGTAGCTCCACTTGTGACACTGGGGACGACATATACTCTGATGTGTCACTGGAGGAAGACGTTCTTGATCTCAACTTATGACCTACACAACCTAACAGTGGTACTGTGTGTGTTACAGTCAGTTATACCGGAGTTCCAGCTTCAACAGCAGTGGTCGTAGCTCCACCTGTGACAATGGGGACGACATATACTCTGATGTGTCACTGGAGGAAGACGTTCTTGATCTCAACTTATGACCTACACAACCTAACAGTGGTACTGTGTGTGTTACAGTCAGTTATACCGGAGTTCCAGCTTCAACAGCAGTGGTCGTAGCTCCACCTGTGACACTGGGGACGACATATACTCTGATGTGTCACTGGAGGAAGACGTTCTTGATCTCAACTTATGACCTACACAATCTAACAGTGGTACCGTGTGTTTTACAGCCAGTTATACCGGAGTTCCAGCTTCAACAGCAGTGGTCGTAGCTCCACCTGTGACACTGGGGACGACATATACTCTGATGTGTCACTGGAGGAAGACGTTCTTGATCTCAACTTATGACCTACACAATCTAACAGTGGTACCGTGTGTTTTACAGCCAGTTATACCGGAGTTCCAGCTTCAACAGCAGTGGTCGTAGCTCCACTTGTGACACTGGGGACGACATATACTCTGATGTGTCACTGGAGGAAGACGTTCTTGATCTCAACTTATGACCTACACAACCTAACAGTGGTAATGTGTGTGTTACAGTCAGTTATACCGGAGTTCCAGCTTCAACAGCAGTGGTCGTAGCTCCACCTGTGACACTGGAGACTACATATACTCTGAAGTGTTACTGGAGGAAGATGTTCTTGATCTCAACTTATGACCTACACAACCTAACAGTGGTACTGTGTGTGTTACAGTCAGTTATACCGGAGTTCCAGCTTCAACAGCAGTGGTCGTAGCTCCACCTGTGACACTGGAGACGACATATACTCTGATGTGTCACTGGAGGAAGACGTTCTTGATCTCAACTTATGACCTACACAACCTAACAGTGGTACTGTGTGTGTTACAGTCAGTTATACCGGAGTTCCAGCTTCAACAGCAGTGGTCGTAGCTCCACCTGTGACACTGGAGACGACATATACTCTGATGTGTCACTGGAGGAAGACGTTCTTGATCTCAACTTATGACCTACACAACCTAACAGTGGTACTGTGTGTGTTACAGTCAGTTATACCGGAGTTCCAGCTTCAACAGCAGTGGTCGTAGCTCCACCTCTGACACTGGGGACGACATATACTCTGATGTGTCACTGGAGGAAGATGTTCTTGATCTTAACTTATGACCTACACAACCTAACAGTGGTACTGTGTGTGTTACAGTCAGTTATACCGGAGTTCCAGCTTCAACAGCAGTGGTCGTAGCTCCACTTGTGACACTGGGGACGACATTTACTCTGATGTGTCACTGGAGGAAGACGTTCTTGATCTCAACTTATGACCTACACAACCTAACAGTGGTACCGTGTGTTTTACAGCCAGTTATACCGGAGTTCCAGCTTCAACAGCAGTGGTCGTAGCTCCACCTGTGACACTGGGGACGACATATACTCTGATGTGTCACTGGAGGAAGAAGTTCTTGATCTCAACTTATGACCTACACAACCTAACAGTGGTACTGTGTCTGTTACAGTCAGTTATACCGGAGTCCCAGCTTCAACAGCAGTGGTCGTAGCTTCACTTGTGACACTGGGGACGACATATACTCTGATGTGTCACTGGAGGAAGACGTTCTTGATCTCAACTTATGACCTACACAACCTAACAGTGGTACTGTGTCTGTTACAGCCAGTTATACCGGAGTTCCAGCTTCAACAGCAGTGGTCGTAGCTCCACTTGTGACACTGGGGACGACATATACTCTTATGTGTCACTGGAGGAAGATGTTCTTGATCTTAACTTATGACCTACACAACCTAACAGTGGTACTGTGTGTGTTACAGTCAGTTATACCGGAGTTCCAGCTTCAACAGCAGTGGTCGTAGCTCCACTTGTGACACTGGGGACGACATATACTCTTATGTGTCACTGGAGGAAGATGTTCTTGATCTTAACTTATGACCTACACAACCTAACAGTGGTACTGTGTGTGTTACAGTCAGTTGTACCGGAGTTCCAGCTTCAACAGCAGTGGTCGTAGCTCCACCTGTGACACTGGGGACGACATATACTCTGATGTGTCACTGGAGGAAGACGTTCTTGATCTCAGCTTATGACCTACACAACCTAACAGTGGTACTGTGTGTGTTACAGTCAGTTATACCGGAGTTCCAGCTTCAACAGCAGTGGTCATAGCTCCACCTGTGACACTGGGGACGACATATACTCTGATGTGTCACTGGAGGAAGACGTTCTTGATCTCAACTTATGACCTACACAACCTAACAGTGGTACTGTGTGTGTTACAGTCAGTTATACCGGAGTTCCAGCTTCAACAGCAGTGGTCGTAGCTCCACCTGTGACACTGGGGACGACATATACTCTGATGTGTCACTGGAGGAAGACGTTCTTGATCTCAGCTTATGACCTACACAACCTAACAGTGGTACTGTGTGTGTTACAGTCAGTTATACCGGAGTTCCAGCTTCAACAGCAGTGGTCGTAGCTCCACCTGTGACACTGGGGACGACATATACTCTGATGTGTCACTGGAGGAAGACGTTCTTGATCTCAACCATAAGGTAGGTGACCAGAAAAATGTTTGTATTGCCATTAGTATAGTATAATAGCTGGTCTGGTGGTTAGAGCTCGGGACTTCCGTCACTGAGGTCCGGGGTTCAAATCCCACCAAGTCACAAATTTTTATCCAAGTGATAATGCCGCAACTCCTTTTTAAAAAAAATCCCGAACTCCTGCATAGCATCTTAGGACAAAAAAAGTATAGTATTTTGAATGAAAAATACAGTATCTATTTAATAGACTAAGACAATTTGATTTTTTATTTCGGGAATCAAAATCTCTATAAAACTGGGATTCAAACTTTTAAATTCAAAATAGTTTTATTTTAAGTCTATATGAACACACTACTGAATATGATTTTCTCCTGACCTGGATAATACTACAATCCCCACCCACATCAAGCCTTTAAAACGTTGAACAAATTAATTATATTTAACATGCACTTGGGCAATAAGATAGATGCATGACTTTAAGGTGTTCAAAGTTCACGGTCAAAGAGTTTAAGCCTTGAAAAGAGCAAGAGAATAAAGATAATCATAAAACAACGGCCAAAGCATAAACAAAGAATAAAATAAGAAGAATAAATGAAGAATAAAAAAATGATAATAAAATGAAACCTGTTAAACATAAAAGAGTCGACGTACCGTTAAGTAGCAATGCGTTCTACAATAACATAAGAATTATTTAGGCCGAATATGCTTCAAAGAAAGTCTTGTCAAGCCTTGTTACTGACTAAGACCAGTTTTATCTTTTGCTAGAATCATAAATTAGAATTCCAAATCTCGTAATCATGCAATGTTTTACAAATTATATTGATTCATGAGACATTTACATATTTCAAACTTTACTATCACTAAGTAGAGTGCAGTAAGGATTACTGGAAAGTAGAGGACGCTGAGGGCAAGAAAAGTGGAAGGCTTGTAGTGAAAGTGAATGTGACTTTGGGGATCACATTAGAAATCTCACTTAGCAAACCCCTTCACTCCCTGTTGAATATTACATAACCAATGTCATTGTTTTGATTTAATTTAGTGACTATTGTATAATGCAAGATAGCTATCTATATTTAATGGTCAATACTGTTTTAACGCTTGAAGCATTTTGCATTTACCCACAAGTTCATTATTTTCCTACAATAACAATGTCGCTGACTCGACCCAGACTGTTTTAATGAACAACAATTAACACTAAACCTCTTGACAATTAATTGCTTACATTACGATGCAAATTGCTGTCTTGCGGTCTTGGTCTCGCGGTTAATACTGGAAGCTGCACATAGTTTATTAAATGGGTCCCTTGCAAAACTATACATTTTATCATGAATTCATTTAGTACGGAGCTTGAGGTGCAATTTAAGATGACGATGGTTGAGTGTGCACTTATTGCTTAGCTTTTCTACTAACTAAACCGTACAAAAAAGTTAAGTTTCAGACAAAATGTAACCCTACTCTAAATTTTACTATATTTCTTCAACCACACAAGAGGTAAAATTTGTTATCCTCCATTTTGAGGGGGTTCTGTTGCTCACTTCATTATGTTAATAGGGGTTGTAATTCTCACTTCTCCTTCTAAGGAAGCTGTGATGCCCAATTCCCTACTTAGTGTTGTGATTTTCACTTTTTAATTTTCAATGTTTACCAGGGTGTGATATTCACTACTCTGTGATTCTCAGTTTCAGGGGGTTGTGATGCTCACTTCTTTGTGTTGAGGTGGTTGGGTTGCTCACTCCTCTGTTTTGAGGTGGTTGTGATGCTCTTTTCTCTATGTTGAGGTGGTTGTGATGATCACTTCTCTGTTTTGAGGTGGTTGTGATGCTCTTTTTTGAGGTGGTTGTGATGCTCACTTCCCTGATTTGAGGTGGTTGTGATGCTCTTTTCTCTATGTTGAGGCGGTTGTGATGACCACTTCTCTGTTTTGAGGGGGTTTTAATGCTCATTTCTCTGGTTTTGATTGGGTTGAGTTTGGTTTATTAATTATCAGGCTCTGTTTTGAGGGGTTGTGAAGCTCACTTCCCTAAGTTGAGGGGTTGTGAAGCTCACTTCCCTGTGTTGAGGGGTTGTGAAGCTCACTTCCCTGTGTTGAGGGGTTGTGAAGCTCACTTCCCTGTGTTGAGGGGTTGTGAAGCTCACTTCCCTAAGTTGAGGGGTTGTGAAGCTCACTTCCCTGTGTTGAGGGGTTGTGAAGCTCACTTCCCTGTGTTGAGGGGTTGTGAAGCTCACTTCCCTGTGTTGAGGGGTTGTGAAGCTCACTTCCCTGTGTTGAGGGGTTGTGAAGCTCACTTCCCTAAGTTGAGGGGTTGTGAAGCTCACTTCCCTAAGTTGAGGGGTTGTGAAGCTCACTTCCCTGTGTTGAGGGGTTGTGAAGCTCACTTCCCTGCGTTGAGGGGTTGTGAAGCTCACTTCCCTAAGTTGAGGGGTTGTGAAGCTCACTTCCCTGTGTTGAGGGGTTGTGAAGCTCACTTCCCTAAGTTGAGGGGTTGTGAAGCTCACTTCCCTAAGTTGAGGGGTTGTGAAGCTCACTTCCCTGCGTTGAGGGGTTGTGAAGCTCACTTCCCTAAGTTGAGGGGTTGTGAAGCTCACTTCCCTGTGTTGAGGGGTTGTGAAGCTCACTTCCCTGTGTTGAGGGGTTGTGAAGCTCACTTCCCTGTGTTGAGGGGTTGTGAAGCTCACTTCCCTGCGTTGAGGGGGTTGATAAAGACCCCACTTATCACTCAAATAAAGGCTCTCTTATCAATGTTCACCGGAATGTGAATCCCGCTGCTTGATTTTGACGTGATTGAAAATAAATTAAATAGAAAATCCCTTACTTACCGATCCAAGTAGACGTGATTAAAATCAATGCTCATCCATAAAATTTAAGTAGTTGTGAAGCTGATTGCTCGCTGCTCAATGTTGAGGTAGTCACGGTACTCTTTGCTCACTGGCTTTGTTAATGCGAGCAACCAGTCAACCATAACCACTGCTGAGCCCTGTTATCAGCTGTTCAAGGTCACCATTCCTTTCACCTCAGCAAGGACGTTAGCTATCACCCAGGACTGGAATGCAATTTGCACACCACCGCAGTGCTTCTACTGTCGTAATATATCCCGGACTGTGAACCGATTCAGCATTTATGGAGAGGAAAGTTCTAAGATAAGTCATGGACACGATTAAGTCATAGCATTGGGCATAGCAACTCAGTAAAATGAGTGATAGCGCGTAATAACCAGAATATCTTATGTATGATGTCTAATGAACTTTGATTGCACTAATTTATTGTGTCAGTATAGCCACATATAGCACAAGAGTGAGTGTGTTTGTGTCAAACGGTATACGGTGTCAAACGGCATTTTCTTGATTTTATGTCCTTGGCTATTACTGGACAGTTTTTCAATAATGATATGAATTAACAAGAGTAACTGTAAGAAATAAAAACCTCATAGCAATAATGTCTCTTCTTTAAACTCCGAGAACTTTTAGCGAATTTCCCTATAGGGAAGTAGCTATTACCGTAGGTGGCACGGTAAGACCTAGACCCGGGACCGATTTACTTTTTCATTTTGATGTCCCCAGAGGCCAAAAACACCATTCGTTCAAATTTATATATATATATATATATATATATATACGTCCGTGAACGCGATAACTTGAGTAATTTTTGTCCGATTTTGATGAAATTTGGTTCAAAGGTGTAAAGCGGGATAAACTTGAATGAGTTCGCGACCCTCAAAACACAAAATTTCCCGATTTCTCTTTAGACCTTTTTAAAGAGCTTAAAAAAACAAATGATTTAGTATACAAAAGTATTTTTTTTCGATTATTAGTAACGGAGAAAATTTAAAAAATTTTAATTTAAAAATTCCCATGTTATTCTTATGGAGAATATTGTCAAATGTTGTAGTTTGCTTGTTTATGGATATATTTTGATTAAACTTGGCAAATTTATTTATTTTGTACTAAGCTATCATTATTTTACTCAAAAACACACTTTATTAGTTTCCTTGTAGCAGCAAACCTAGGTACTCGTTAAACCTAAAATTATTAAAATATATTTAACTGAAAATCAATTCAGACAAATGGAAATTTGCTTAGTCGGCAGGTTTGCTGCGGCGGTGGTATTTGTAAATATCTTTACAACACGGTGGCACTAACGTTAACGATAGAACATTTTAGTCAAAACGGTTCATGAGATTTTAGTTACAATAAGACAGAAAAACCCAAGTCAATTTATAGTGTGTGTAGAGGCCAATCTTGTAAAGAAAACTCAATCTTGCTATTATTAACTTGAGCACCGAGCTATTTTGGAGAAATGTTATAATTACCTAAACCAGTATTTAATTCCTTAAGCGGTGAGAGGCGCCTCGTAGAACACATCAGATCTGACGAACCGGGTTAATGGGAATTGCTACACGAGCGAGAGAGATGGAGCGATACTCAGCCTCAGCGAGTGCGAGAGAGAAAGATGCATGGCTGGTTTGATCTGCTTTTTATAAGTTGCTGATCGAGCTGTCAATTTGAAAGTTCAGAAGACGAATCGGTTCATTACAGTTCCGAACTTTCAATCCGATTTCCCGCTTTTCGCTATCTACGAAATGTCCACATTTAATTTAAATGCGTTTCGCATCAACATTTCATCAGTTAAATTGCTACACGTTGATATATTCGACCTTGAATATTGTGATCATGTGTGTATTTACATAATTGCTAATGGACAAATGCCACAGGTTGTCGCGTTTCGCGTGTTGGGTCTACTACAGTGTGCACACACTAACCTCACGACACGGCAACACGGTTGCAATTGGCGTGTTGTACACGAACATGCGCCGCCCTAAAGCTATGGTAAACAGCACAGATAAACGATAATAAGCGCGCATGTGATCTCTGCTTTTTCAGTCTTCCGAATTCTTGTATAAAATGTGGAAACTCGTAATAATGTATTTAAGAAATCCCAGATGTGGGCAGTTTTGCTCACCAAATATACCTTTTTAAATGCCTATGCCACCATAGAGCAATGCAGAAAACTA